CCATCGTACTTCTTGACAAAAAGGAACTCCTTAAGGTACTCACTGCATACTTTAAAGGAAAAGCCTACTACTCGCTGAAGGAGTATTTTGATGACCCTCTATTAGGCCTGGGCTGACTTAAGTTACGCCTGTCCACAGCCTCAGTGTTAAAAATATGTTTTTTGAAATTTGTAAATAATGTAACTTACATATTTGCGTAAAGTGTTTTTCATGTTATTTAATGACGCCATCAATCCCCCATGGGGAAAAAGATAAAGGACCGGTAATAAGGTAACTCAAATCTTAGCAGAAACTGATGGCTAATCTTCCAGGATTAATGCAGGCCTAAATTAGTCTAATACTTGTCACTCCAATATACAATCCCAACGATAAAATTACAGTAATGGTATGTCAGCCGTCAAATTTAGGCTATCATGGGGGATAGTGATGGGGTCCAGTCAACTCGGAGTTTAGTTGTTTTACCGACTACTAATTGTAAGACCTAAGTTAGCCTATTCTATCGAATTTCAATTGACTAGTCGACTATTTCTACTAGTCAATAAGAGGCACATTTCTACCACTTATAACGGGAGTAAGTTAAGTATCACAGAAGTTGATTGAAAAAAAAGTATAAGTTATAAGTACCGGTATATAAAACAAATGTCAACAATACATAAAATTTTTTAAACAGTTAAAAAAGTCACAATAACAAAATAAAGCTCAACAATATATAGTACAAAAACATTGTTAAAATTTCTATGGGCGGTAACAGGAGATTCAACAATAAAAACATACATTTAACATTAGACAATAAAAAACAAACAGCACATCTGACATTAACAATAAAAAACTAATTGAACTTGTTTTCAAAGAAATCTTTTATGCTGTAAAAAGGCTTTGCTGTTAAAAGAGAATTCAACTTACAAGAACCCCTATTATCGACCTTGTCAACTAAATCGGGTTTCTTCTCATCATTGCTAGCCTTAAGTTACCGTATTTTTTAGGACTAAGTTATGTAGTTAAAATGAAATAATAATTTATTTTCTCTTTATAACAAACATTTTACAATTTGTACAATCAGTTAGGGCCTAAGCCTACAGAAAATCAAGAAAATTGATTAGTTTATCTAAACTACCTATTATTTCATTGTGATTTTATGCTACATACATAAAGAGAAAATTTAACTTAGGGCCTCTAAGGCTATGCCTGTTTGGAGGTTTCATTTTAATTTTTAAAATAAACAAATTCAGCGTTTAATAATGATGAATAAGTACAGTAAATATAAACCAATCTCACTTAAAAACAAATGTACAGTAGGTAGTTTAAAAATAAATTTCACTTCTTTTAACTGATTATGTTGTGAGTTATAAATAATTTAGTTGTGTTGTTTTAAAAGGATTTCTTACTTAGAACCTCTCATTCGTGTTGATTTCAAAATCTAGTGGTTAGTTCTGTATTTTTTTCTTTTAAGAAAGTGCAAATTAAATTACCGGTAACCATTGTAAGAATTAAGTAAATAGGCCTAACTTATGGCTTACTTGTAACACACTGTACTTTTAATTAACAGGTACTCCACTTGGAGGCCTAAATAAATGTAGCCTATAGCAGCAATTTAATTTTGTGAAATGACCTAATTTGTTTGAATTTTAATTCAGAAACATGGCTGGAGCAGATGGAATAGACGAATCACAGTTCAAAGGACTATCTAAGCATTTCAACTCCTTCACTGATCGAGGAAGGGCGAATGTAAGTTTTGCTTGTAAATATAGCCAAGGAAAACTGTGGCAATTCTCTATAGTTGTTTCAAACAGTAACTTAGGTTTAGTTGAAAATGAATGAAGTGATAACCAGTAATTTTAGGCAATATGTAAGGCTGTATTTATTTTCATTACTAATTCTTTGGAATATTAAACACTAAGTAGCTAATCATTCTTCAAAATAAGTTGACTTGGCATGGTTTTAGAAAATCTATAACAACATGATCTGCTATTAAACATTAACTGCATCATACATTTGATCAAGATTCAGGAGGTTTCTGAAATTAAAAACAATTTAAAAACTGTAATTTAATTTAAATCCTTTAAATTTTAACTTTTGGGGGAAAATGTATTTCACCTAAGGCAGTAAACGAAGGCTTAAGTACACTTACTACAGCTCTTTTTACCTATTTTAAAGACTTTATTTTCTTAACATCCGTTTCAAAATTAGTTTCTTACCACAAAAAGGTAGCCTAATTTGATTGAGTCCACTTTATTTTTATCTCTACACGTTTCTCTTTTCTCCAGTATAGATAAAAATGTCATTACATTTTATGTTTCCTAATTTTAACGGTTTTTACAGGTTGCCAAGGCAACGTATGCAGCTGTGGGACTGTACATTCTTTACCTATCACTGAAACCAAAGAAGAAGTGAATGTGTTAAGACCTAATTAAGTGTTATCAGCATCCATCTAGTTAATTGTCATAATCAATAACCTTAAGATAATTCTATGAGCAATCATTTGATCAATGAAAATAAACTACTGTAAGAACATGTTGCAAAACCGTTGAACTCAAAACAATAAAATTTAGACAACTCAATGTTTTTGTTTGTACCCTTTTTCATGAGTGAATTTCTGTTTAATACATTTGTTAAACAATAGTTTGAAAAGGAGTACAGTTCCGCAGAGAACAAATGATATTTTATCAGATGAATGACGATAAATAGCCTATGGGTTCGATATTAATATCGTATGGAATTTAATCATACCATATGATATAAATTACAACCTATCAACTCATTAATAAAGATGATATGACAATACAGTTTTTATTAACGTTCCTCGCTTGGTCCAATCCCGAAAAGCTGATGAGTGGTGATTCCACTCTAGCATTGGCTCCTAAACCATCCATTTCGTATGAATACCTGGACAGGTCCCATGTATAGGGATCAAAGTATAGGCAAAGTTTGAATTTCCTTTTTTTTATTGCAAGTTTTTTTTTATATAAAGAGGTTGGCGACCTCTTAACCTTGCATTTGCTCGTCCACATAGACTACAGATCTGTGCGTGGAACGTATCCAGCAAAGCAAGGGGTGAGCCGGTACAGTACAAAGGTGAACTGTACTGATAAAAGTTTGTGTCAGTGACCAGGATCCGAACCCACGACACTACTGCCTTGGGCCCGAAGTCCGCGACGCTACCAACTGAGCCACCAACTCAACAACAATAGTTTACAATAGGCTACATTTGATCAAGTTTAGTATCCTAGATCTAAATTCAAACACTGCTGCCTAACACTTCCTATAGGGTGGTTTGGTCTAAAAAATTCACAATTAAACCGCTAAGAGTCTAAAAAAGTTTCAAAATAAAAAAATATAAAATGCACATTTAAGAAAAATTGGTATATAACTTCAAATGCATAAAATTTAAAAAAAGCTTTAGTGTTAATGAAATGGCTGTGCTAATCATCAGTTCAGACAGAAAATTCATGATTTAGATTTAAAATGTTTATTAAGATAACTTATATGTACTCAACTATTCATGTCACATTCTTTGTTTGTCAGATGAAACATAACATTGACGAATCCAGACACATTGAGCCTTGTGGAAACACCGGCGGATTGTGCGGATATAAAATTAATTAAATAATTGTATACACACAAACTGGTGTTTCCAAAAATTAATTATTGTATTTTTAAAATCCTGACAATGACATTAAAATTCAACAATCTCTTCTTTTATAAGTGAAACCAAGGCTAATGGGTAAGTGGCAGGAGTAATTATATGGTCTGGGGGGGAATACAAACATTGCTATAAGAACTATAACTTTTACAGGATTTCAGATTGTGCTATTTTGTATGGAGTCATATGTACATACTAAATTTTAATAAAAATCTTTGAGGGGTTTTATTAAAAACTAATTTTTCCATCTTTACGGAAAATGAGCATTAAAAATACAACTTTAATGAAAATAGCCTGGAAATACTACGGATTAATACTGTTGAGAAGTAAGTTATAGAGGAAACTTACTTAATGGACAACCCTAAGGTTTCATTTCTAGTATGTTAATTTGTGTGTGCACAATAGAGGCACTTGTCACAAAAAAGGAAGAGCCCAAGCGGCAAGCACTGTGCTCAAGTTCCTATTGCACAGGGCAAAGGAGTATATGTGATGGGGGGGAGGGCGGTTTAGGAAAGTGACTAGTGTCAGGCACCCCTTAGTGCACCATTGAATGTTACCTCTGTACCTTACATCTGTGTTATTTCATCAAAATTGGACTACAGGTGTAGTATGTAGCTCTGTACACAATATCCAGACACGCACACACAAACGTCACTTTAACATTTTCTTTTTAACTTAGCCAATTTCCCATTTAGGGAATAAGCTATTACCGTAGGTTTTATGGTAAGACCTAGACCCAGAACCACTTTTTAGTTTTGATGTCGCCAGAGATGCCAACAATTCTATCCATGTGTGTGTGGGCGCGTATGTGTTCGTCTGTTACAATAACTGAGGTAAAAATCATCTTGGATTAAATTTAGTATAAACACGCATACAAATATATTAATTTGAAATATTAGTATTTCCCAAATATCGCCAAACCATCCCTCTTTTTACCCTTTGTTGTTTGGCATAAGAGTTGGTCATGATTAAATTCTTAATCACATCTTGAAAGAAAAAAAGTAAAAAAACTTAGGGAGCTGTCAACTGGGAATTTTATGTTGAATATTTACAACTAAATATCTTTCTAGAGGGTTCATAACCTTCCATATTTTAAAAGTTAAAAACAATACATCTGTCTGTCTCTTGTCACGCTACGATCTCAGGATCAGCTGTGAAAGATCGAGGAACTAATATGCCAGACAACAATTTTCTGTAAACAGTCCTCGATCACTGATCAGTTGACAGATGCTACCACAGTGCATCATTACGAGCAGCACTTTTCAGATCTAGATGTGTCTTTTAAGCATGAAGAGGAAGGCTCATCACCGCCTTGACGGGTTAAAAGGATGAAAAGATCATTTATTGATATGAGCAAACATTAATTGTAAAATGTTTATTTCAAAAACACAACTTTATGTACAAATAATTTAAGTGAAATCTACACTCGGCATACAAGATAATACAATCACTACTTTTAAAGTCAGTCTCGTTAAGGTCTTCTCATTTTCCTGAAACAAAAGGAATTTGTATCATTTTACAGAAAGACATTAGTTTCTATAGTTTATCTGTGCATGCTAAATATTTGTGTTAGAACACAATTGACACACTGGAGAAACACTTGATGTTTAGTAGCTTGCCGTTAGTCTATTAGATAATAGATAGGAAGTCTTAAAAACGTGTTTTGAGCCATTCTCTCACAAGCAAATTGTATGATTTGCTTGTTCATTTATTGATGAATTTTTACAGGTTTCGTTACTTACGTTACGTGTGGCCACATGTTCACTAAACACAAACTGAACTGTTAACCATGTCTACCGTTCGTTTTATTTTACCATTTCTAAATATTACATGAATTATGGCACTTAACTTTAGAACGTGGAGAGTGGGTAAAATATATATCAAATTTTACTTTAGAAATTTTTTATCACTTTCAAAATGACCTTTTTTATCTTTTGGCATATTGTCCAAGATGTATTACGTAACAAAACTAGGGGCCTACCATTTATTTTTCAAATACCAAGTGATTGTAATTTAAACATCTAGGGCAATGTGAGATTAAAAATTGCCTTTGTAGCCTACAAATGCAATTTCTAATCTCACATTGCCCTAGATATTTAAATTACAATCACTTGGTATTTGAAAAATAATATTTGGGGATGATAATGCCTTCACCAGCTGTTTGGAGTTAATCCAAGAAGGCCGCTAACCTCCAATGACTATTAAGTAGCTGGCGAGCTAACGTCATAGCTGCTTTGTCACAATTCTAAAATTCTATGCTTTGTAGCTCGTATTGTACTGTAAACAACACACTGCTGACGTTGTATTTGGCAAAAAAGCTGGTCCGGGAAGCGTCAATCGTCTTATCAATTTTGGTTTGAAATTGAGACTCCTAGTGGGTCATTTTCAGTTCGGTTCGTTGTTTGATCAGACTTTAAACAACATAAGTAAAACTAATTTCCATTTTCTTACGTTAAATATCGTGCGACTCCATGAACAAAAAGTTCTTGCAGAAGTTTTAAGCGTAGATACTAAAACAAAACAAACTCACCAACTAAACACTATACTACAACCACTCAACACCCACGACTCAGGTTAGGCTCTTTGGCACGACTACGCCCTCGCCGCACTCCTCTACTACACTACCCTTGGCGCTCGATGAGTGGGAAGGGGTGTGGGAGTGTTTATGACCTTAGCAGTACTGCAGTGAAGCATCATGCGTCCGCGTCAAGTGTTATTCTGCAGTCGACGTTGCCTTATAGTAGTTTGTACGTGTTAAACTGCGCATTTATATGAGATATTTTACAACAGAGTTTTTACTCAGACAATTTTTAATCGTAATTGTTGGGTTTTAAACGTACTGAAACGTTTTCCGGAGGGCCAGTCCGGGCCTGATCTGACAAACAGCATATTATGTGCGGTGATGTTCTGTCTTTTGACGAGAGTCAACGTAGTTTGCTGAAACACTCACAGATGGCAGCACTGTATGGAACTAGCTGTTACCATTGTATTGCCAATTGGAGGAAAAAAGACGGGACAAAAAGTTGATTTCTAAGCTTGCCAGAAAAATTTAACGGGAAATTTACTACCAACCTATATCACAATAAAGCACCCATTCCAAACTAAACGCAGATATATAAAAACCGTTCTTCCCTGTGTGCTGCTGCTCACAAATTGAATGGAATGTAACAATGTCCCACTCAGGGGAGAGCGTTCAAGGTGGCAGCAAGGAACTAGAGCACTCACCTGCAGCGAACGTGTTAATTGTTTACATTTTAGTATTTTCCTTATTCTAATTGCCATATCCAAACAAAGTAAATAAAATGGCAGCCATGTGCAATGGTTTGGAACAGTATGCTAGTAGGCTAACCTGACAGCAGACTTTGCAATAAGATGTTGCTGCAAACAGGGGATTTACAAAAGAAATCTTTCACTCAGTTTTCCTTCATCAAAGCAGATGTTATCGGCACGATTCAAAAGCCTTCAAACAGTGTCTATTGTTTACAAGTTTAGGTTAGTATTGTTACTACATAACTCACTTATTTGCTGGAGGTTCCTTGTATGATATCGGGGTTTTCATTCTTCGTGAATTCCTTCCTTCGGTTTCACCTGTAAATATTAAATCATCTTTTTCATTACCTTAAACAAAAAACCGTCATTAAGAATAAGAGAAGGTTGTCTCACATTAATATGTTTTTGATGCAAGGGCTTCCTGCCCACAGATTAGGTTTGTATGAAAAAAATACTTCTTATGCTGGAGCTAAGTTTTATAATATAGACTTCCTCAGTAGGCTTACATAAATATAGCTTATTCCCTATATGGGTAAATTCGCTAAAAGAGAATAATCTTTGAAAAATTCAAAAAACAATTGTTAAAGCGCCACTTGCCGTCTTTGTCTTTATATACGTTTGAAGAATATTTTTATTTTTTACAGTAGACTAATTTCGACGTCATTTGATGTACTTTATGTACAATATGAATTAAAGACATTTTTATTTGTGATTTGATCGGATTATGCAAGTCAAAAAGTGTAATATGGAACTTAAAACTTCCAAGTCATAAAATTTGTATGTAAAGTTGTAACGCATAGCAGCAAGCTGTATTTTTTATAGTGTGAGTATTCGCGAAGCCGGGCTACATGTCAAGATCGTAACCTGCAGCGACTGCAAGAACATTCTCCCCCTCCTTCCTTACCGACCCTCACTCCTCTTCCATCAAGGCTCTCGACACAAAAATAACCGATCAAGGATCTCCGTTACTACCAATACCGGCTAAGTTATAGTTTAAGATGTTTAGTTAGAGATAGATAAATTAAAATGTCTGGCTAAGTTAGGAAGCAAGCCTGATAGTTGAGATGTAGGAATTAACGTTTACATGGTTCAATGTGTCTCACATCAGACCATTTCAATTATAACATTTAATCACATCTCCCCAGACTGTTCTCCACCTTATATCAGTTAAATTCATAGATATTTGCCTTTCAGTAATTAAATCTCCAACCAATATCATTCAATTCACTCAGCAGTATTAGCAACCAATTCACCATTTTTAGCACTCAGTGTTTGGAAGGATGTATTTAGTTAGTTAGTTCAATTTAATTAGCATAGATCAAAGCTGGCTAGCGAAGTGTTTCTGATCCATGTAAAAGATATCCGTCCCTCGGTTCCCAACAATCTTACATTTTAACTTAACTTTTGGTAGCAGATTCAGCACACTTAAATTTAAATTTGATCCAGATATTGCAATTCTCTACCCATTAGCATTACCCCATTATTCCCTCCCAAATCCCATTTCCCCGCACAAGAGTGAATGTAGTATTACTGAGAGTCCTCAACTGCCAGCTTTCCTGTGTCTGCCAAACCATGAACGTAAAGAGGGGAGAACACATAACATCCATTTAAAACCTGTTTTGGGCTCTTTTGCAAATTATTGATTTTTAATTCAGTGCTATCATATAGATACATTACAAAAATATAAATCAGCTTTAAAAAAAACTATTTCCAAAATGGAGTTGAAGTTTGGAACAAATGTAGAGGGATCAATCAATTGGCTAAATCATATTCATCTACAACATGTTATCCTCAACAATCCACTGCACAGCTTTCTGAGGATGGTATTCAGAATAATAAAAGACACTCAAAACAGCCAAACTTAACCCATACAGACCTGTGTCCTGTGATAGACGCATAGTTACTGAAGTTCTAGATGATTCGACTGAATTCTTCTTAATGGAACTGAAACAAAAGGTTTTTAACAACAAACTGGAGTGAGTTAAATATCATTCAGCTTCATATAAGACTTTAGTGTGATTTTTGCTTGTATTATTATAGAAAATTGTTTATTTAAAGTACTGTAGACTTCATACATAAAATATGAATAACTCATTATTGTATAGGCTTGTAATTCATCAAAAATATTAGCACCTTACACTTTTATTAGAATGTGACATTTCATTGTAAGATACTTACATCAATTCAGCTCAAAATTCTGAATGGTGACACATGTTTTGACACATTAGTGTCCTTCTTCGCAATTAGGCTACTCAGCTGATGATGAAACTCACTAACGTATCGAAACATGTCCTGAAACTCACCATTCAGAATTTTGAGCTAAATTGGTGTACCTAATTAATATATCTTACAATAATTATCTCCAGCTCAGGGGCTCAACAATGAATTTCAATGTGGCTTTTCAGTTAAAAGTACATTAAATAGTCTTGATTCAAAGAAAGCAATTACCTTTTCTTCTTACTACCAGTAGAGGGTCGACTTTTCACAGCTTTGCTACTTGTTCCGGAAACTTTTCCTTTCTTGGATTTGGGAACGACATCGGACGAGGCTTCTTCACCCGGATAGAGATGTATTTTGGGTTTTCTGATCCGTTTCCCTGATACATCCGGAGTCGTGATTGGAGTGCAATTGTTACAAAAGCTGCTGGACTGTCTTTGGCCTAGAGTTGACCTTGAGGGCTCAGCGGAAGCTACAGGAGTGGTCCTGGATGAATTCCTACTGGATAAAGCTGAATTTCTGCTTACACCGAGAGAATCATCGACAGCTGATTCCCTGACATACACTACATCAACATTGTTCGTAGAGTCCGCTTCGGCCTTAGAGGTATTTGACACATCGAGACTTGAGTTCGCTGTTGAAGATCCGCTAGATTTGTTTTTCTTGCCAAAACTCTTTTTGTATAAAGAATCAGCCAGGCTGCTACGCTGTTTTTCTTCAACTTCGCTTTCTTCGTTTGACGACTCTGACGAACTTGATGTCTCGGGTTTCCTCTTTTGTTGTTTTTGGCCGGAGTGAGGAGTGCTGTGCATCCAGCTACACCCTTCCTGTGGATCATCGGTCGACCTCGGTCTATGACGATCAGGGCCTTCGCTTGTCCTTGGTATATAACCGTCAGAGTCTTCGCTCCTTGGTCTACGACTGTCACGATCTGATGGCCGCCCACCTCCTTTTTTCCCTTCACTGGGTCTCGATCTGTTCACCTGTGTAAAATAGCTGATTTGTAGATTAAACCTTATTTCAACTATGTATAGACTTATCCAAGGAAAAGTCATTTTAGTAGCATAATCTAGTAAGAAAGGACCATGTGAACCTGAAATTTCCTCAAATAAACAAGTATTTTCATTCGATAATTAGGTTATTAAAGAGCCATCAGTTTGGAACGGTCCAGCGAGATTACCTAGGGAAACACAGTCCAGGGGACTACACTACAAAAAATAACAAACAAATACTAAAACACTGATATTTAACACTGGTAAGGACTTCTAGAGAGTGTAATTTTTGGTAAGTGAAAATGGCTTTTATATTTTGTATCTCTTATTGGAGTTTTTTCCTTAGTAGAGAGAAAATGTTTAACAGTTAGTAACATTGAGATTGGGAGTGATGATAGATCTTCTTTTTAACTGACATTTCTTAAGTCCTACAGTGGGACAGAAAGTCAGAGTTATGTTGTGTGAAATTTTATTGTGTAGCTACCCTAGAATTTTAAATTTTCCAAGTCAGCTAGTTTAACTCCCTTTAAAGTAATCCGTACAATAAAGTTGGTAATATCTTTTACATTGTGTATCATGTTTCCTCATAAATGAATTGTTTTATGTATTTAAAATTACGAGAGGTCGTCCAGTGGTCGAAACTCGACCAAAAATATGTAATGTACTCACTTATCTATTTTCACCCCACACTGTAAATAAAACATGTGATTGGAGTTTCCTCCATTTGTTTTGATTTTCTGTTTATATTTCGTTGTTATTTCGTAACCAGCATAGCAACGCATAAGATCCATGTTAATTTTTTCAAATTTTTAAACTCATTTTTTGTGCTTATCTTTGAGCCTATTTAAATTTATAAAGGGATTCTGCACACCTACAGGAAAATAGCTTTCCAACGGTATGCGTAGATTTTCCCTACGATGCACACGAGCTGAGAAAAAAGGTTTTAAAGAAACATGCTTGCCTATTAATATATAGATAGATACGAATAAAAAAAGTAATTTCTAGCCAAGTACTGTGGTAGAGAAGCAATTGTCTGTTAAAAAGATAAAAATTCTGCTTATCGAGCAACTATTCACGAATGACGAATGTTCGTAAGCCAATTATCCTCAGAGACGACATCAATCATCCCACTCACACAAGATCACACCCACACTACTTGCTTTTACTATTACAATTGTTTATTATGTAACATTATCAGTGTTAATTGAAACTGGAATTTCAACTGAATTGCTTTACATTATTTCAGAGTCATACCTCTAGCAGTTTGGGACTCAGCAACAATCCGCTGATTTGTTTCAGTCGTATGACGGGGAGGGGGACTTGATCTTCTGAATCACTCGATTCTGACACAGGGTGGCGTTGGTTCCCTGCCTCCCGCTCTCGCTCCTTTTCTCGCTCATTTTCCAGTTGTTCTGTGAAGTAAGTGAGGAAAATTGAAGGAAAAAAGATTACCGTTTAGTTTTTGAGTTGTGGTACATTTAATAGGCCTACAGTTTTTTTTTTTTTTTTTTTTTTGTCCTAGGACGCTAGGCACGAGCCTGGGATTGTTTTTCACATTACTTCAGGCTAGACCTAGGGGTTGCGGCATTATCACTTAGATAAAATCCATTGGTGACTTGGCGGGGATCGGACCCGGGACCTCACGGACTGAAGTCCCGCGCTCTAACCACTACGCCAGCTCGCTCCCCAATAGGCCTACAATGCATACATTACTAATCAAAAGTCATTGATTTTTGTTTGTTTGGGCCTACGATATAAAGAACTACTGTTTATATCGTTGGTTTAGACTTGCTCACAAGGCTCCTAAGGCACTATTAGTACAGTTATTGATTCAAGAACAAATACTGGACTTGAGATAAAACAATGGATGATCGGTAAAGCAGTAAAGACTTAGACCACATGAATAGCCTCACTACAAAGCTATCGAAGATAAATCATTTTCTAAAAAATGTTAGTGGGGTAGGTGTTTCACTTGCTCTAGGCTGAGTTGACACTGTTTCCTCAAAAACATCTGTTCTGGCAAATTTCCGTGTGAATTGTTCCATACAGTTTTGTAGAGTCATATTACGAAGGTTGACTTCTCAAAACGACTGTCATGGAGGTTCTGAATTGCCTCGGGATTTATTGAGGTTGTTTGAATAGAAACAGTTGTTTCATAGAGGTTAATATAACATTGAGTGTCATGGGTTTTGAAAAGTGGACTTGTAATCAAGGTTGTCGGGTCAATGAAGGTCGTGTAAACAAGTCTCTACAGTAATGTATTCAACCATTTAAGTCCCAGAGATTATTCATTGTTTTAACTATGCAATTTACTCTTGGGTTACAGTGGAACCTTGTTGTGTTTTTCTTCTTATTAGCCTAATTTAAATTTTGGAGGAAAACTTTAATTAATTTGTCTTAATCTCAGGGTTTTTTTTACTTATCTAACTTAAATATTAGGGTGCGTGGTGGAGCTGTGTGAAAATGATAACTTAAAACATCAATTACAGAAAGAGTTATTTAATGTTTTGAATTTACAATCAATTACAATAATTTTACATAGCCCAAGGTATAGTTTAAATACAATAATAAAGTTAGCCTAGTTTATGATAAATTAATCTAACTTACATTATGGATGGGATAATTGAGGTTAAACCTACACCTGACTTACTATATGGGAAAGGTATCATAGAATTTATAGTGAAGTCTTTGATTAATAACTTAGATTGTTATAAAAAGCTTATCAAAAGTTTTTTTTTATTAGTTCAATTTGAAAAAGTTGGTAGGTACTTGCGAATTTGGTTAACGTGCAGGTTTTCAAAGTAGTCTTCTTGGTTAATTTGAATGAATAATTAATAATTGTATGCCTATTTAACTTGTAGTTGATTAATTAACCACATTTATCTCATTTTAAAAGTTTAAAAACAGTTTGTTAATTTCTTAAAATTGAGAACATAATTTCATGGCCACTTCCTTTGACTCGTTACCAAAGAAGAGAGAGAAGTACGTTAGTTCCTCATTGCGTCAGATTCAAGATGGCTAGCTTTTTCTTACTTTCTTGTTAAAAACTAAATAATTTTGAGAATTTGTTCAACAACACCGACTCGAATTTCAACTCGTAATCCTATTGGCTTAGAAATTTACGTGGTTTAGTCCAAATATATTGTTTGCATGTAGCTTACTAGCTTTTTTTTTGTGGCAAAATGATTGAAAACCATTCTCGATCATTGGTCTAACCTCTACACTTTAGTTCTCTTTGGTGTCTCGAGTTCTGACGTCATCCACTTTTTTGATTTGAATCTAGTTTTCCGTCTGCAATGTTTTGTGGTTATGTTTCTAAATTATTCCCATTATTTACGATTTCGGCAGAAAAATATGTATTATCATTATTTAGTTTTTTATCACGGTTTTCTGTCGTAAAGGATAGCTTTTACCCACTGATTTGGTTGTTCTATTATAAATGCAGATTTTTAACATGTTATGAGGATCAGAATACAATTTTATTAAATAAATACCATTCCTTTTATCGGATCATCTTCTAATGGTCCAAAATCGTTTGGTCCAACAGTTAAAAACTCGTTCGTTTGGTCCAAAATCGTTTTATCCAATTTCATTTGGTCCAAAGTCGTTTGGTCCACAGTTTATATTGCCGTTCGTTTGGTCCAAAATCGTTTGGTCCAACAGTTAAAAACTCGTTCGTTTGGTCCAAAATCGTTTGGTCCAACAGTTAAAAACACGTTCGTTTGGTCCAAAATCGTTTGGTCCAAAAGTACAGGCCAAACTAGAAGTAAAATGTTGCATTGTAGAGTAAACTTATGAAATATACTGTACGTTTATATTGCCGTTCATTTGGTCCAAAATCGTTTGGTCCAACAGTTGTAAAACAGTTCGTTTGGTCCAACACATTAATACGAGTTCGTTTGGTCCACAGTATAAACTATTGCGTCCCTCACATTGAAGGCGTTCAAATATCCGCCGTCGTATACAATAATAATATTAATACAATTTTTCCTTTAAACATGTTGACTTTCTATGTTTTTAACGATAAAGACGCCATGTTTTGTTGTATTCAAACCACTAAAGCGTACACAAACAAACTTAAAGCTCAATAGTGTATCATACGGTTGGAAATCTTATAAATTAACAGTTTTTATCACATTTGGCGACCTTCTAATATACAGAGTGTTCAGTGGACCAACGTGTTTTAAATGTTTATCATACACCTTAATTTGTATTGTTGTACCGGTACCTATTTACAATGGAGTGTTTACTATTGATCATGGTTGTCTATAATTCTTAATCAAAAGGTTAAAATAGAACATGAAAATTACATTAATTAGCCTACTCATATTTTCTGGACGTCCACAATTTCCTGGTAAAAATGTTGTCTTACAGAATTATATATAAGGATCTTATTTTCTTATTTTAGAATTGATGTTCTTCTGTATAATGTCATGTTTAGCAATATAACGTTCCATTACGAACAGTTATATAATCGTAATATTACAGTAACTCTTTCAATAATTTCTTATTGCATTATGTTATATCTATTGTACTGGTTGGTGTCTGCCTTTTTGACTACTTTTGCCGATATTTTGTCTTATTATTCAAGACTGACAGATCATCACGAGATTATTGTTATACATGTGTATTTAATCATTGGACAATTTCCCATTATGTAATACGATACAGAATAATAAAAGTGCAGAAGGCTTTTACAGTCTATGAAAATGAATGTTAAATAGGCTACTTTTATTTATCATAGACATATCATTAAGGTACATCAATTATAGGTCTACTCTTTGTGATATGCATAATTGTCTGGGACAAACATTCAGGCACGTTGCCCATATTTTTTTAAAAATAATAGTGGTTTTCAGTTACGGTACTGGATTAAATTTTTAATACTTTTATGAATAAATGCATGATAAGTTATAGAAAGTTATTAATCCTAAATTTCAGTTCATTACAGACTTTTAGAGAGTTTACTTTGATGTATTAATTCAGCTTAGTGAAAGAATACACAATAGAGCCAATGAATGTTATTCAACTAAAGAAGTGTTGTACATGTTTACTGGCGCTACTCAGCAACAAAAATCATTGATCTCTCTAAGTTACTTACCCAGATGGTGACATAAAAAAGGCCCAAACTCCATACTATAAACAGTTACTCAGGCCAGAGTCAATTTAAAGCGCTTGAATTGTAGCATTTATTAATTCGGCTTATATTTCTCGTAACCACCAGATTGTTCATCTGCAGAAGAAGTTCAGTGTGCTCTTATCGTGTCTAATGACATCCAAACACAGAAACCTTAAATTACAGTAGTACCTATATCTTGACAGATGTTTTGCAGTAGCATGTTACCTTTTGTACGATATTACGGACCGTGGCCCACTTGATTGGCCTTAAGTGGGAATTTTTTTAATAACACTACACCTTAACTGTAAAACAAATTTCACAAAGAGTGATCATTTTTTTACCATTTACTGTCATGACAGAAAGGTCGTGTACATTTTGTACCGGATCTCCTCATCCTTTCAAAGATACGTTGATTAACAACGTGACGAAGGAAAAATAAAAACATTGCTCACTTAGTATTGATTATAAAAATATTATAAAAACAAGGAACAAACCCCAAGTGAAAGTGTTACAATACATATTCTTGACCATTTAAGGTGCTTGCTAAATCTAGCACTCTATTAAACATGGTCTCAAATATGTATTAACTTACTTTCTCACGCTAACTGGCAATCACGACAATCAATATTATTGTACACATATAACTTCTAACATAAATATTTCAATTGCAATTTGAAACCAAATACTGTTAAGTACCAACTGAAACCAACTACTGTACAGGTAGTTTATGTTCTACTGTTGGTCAGTCCTACAGTATGTTTCATCTAGGGTCCTACGCACGTGAATCGAGTAGTCAATATAAATCACAACAGGTAGCCTAGTTAACACAAAGACACAAAAATTTCGTAGTAAATATAATTCACTGACATCTTCAATAATTGAACAATGTTTTACAGAAATGAAATTTTCTAACATGACTTAACATTTGATGGCAAAACATAAACTTAAAATGATTGTATGTACTGTGAAACTCAACTATACGCAAGTGTTTTCTATGTATAGTAGTAAATTGCAAATTTAGTGATAACGCACATCCTTTATGGTAAGGGAAAACTACATTTTAAAGTTAAATATTATGTCGGCGAACAACGACAAACACAACATTTGTGTAAACAAAACATTATTAACATAAACATTTACAAGTCACAATTTAATTTGAAACCACCTTTTCACTTTTTAGAAAAAACAACATGAAACTACTTTGAACTGTTTAGTACGCAATTTACACTTATTTCTATAACACAGTGAAGTTAGCCTTACGTACGGTTATGGCCTCGACATCCCCTTCATTTCTTAATTATCTATCATTCTATTTAAATTCATTAATATCCGTAAAGTGGTTCAAAATATCAAAATAAAAAACGCGTTTATATATATATATACAGTATATATATACAGTATCAGACTAGTATTTATCCGGCACTCGTTGCAGTACTAAAAACTAACTATTAAATGTATACAAAAAAATATAATAAAATTTAAAAATATAAAATATAAAAATATATAAAAACTAGCAGAGTACCCGTCCTTCGTACGGGGTTGGAATATAAGTATAGAATGCTTATTGCAGTTATACTCAAGCTTTGCGATTGCAATGGGTGGAGGACACAGTTTGATAAAATTTGATTTTTTAAATTTACAGTATTCTATAGTATTACACATCTACCATAGCCATAATGTTCTACCATTTTACCTAAACAGTAGAGAAAAATAAATTCTGCTTCAACTACACAAGTTAGTTCTACAGTATTGTATAGCATTAACAAGTTATAAGGATTACCAGCAGGGTGCAGAACTATTAATTTTTTTTCATTTATGACTACAGCTAATTTGAACCAACTAGCAACAAAAAGCTGTGATATACAATGAGACATTAACTTTTTTATTGTTTAGGTGCAGTTAAGAACATTATGGCTATGGTAGATTCGCTATATTATAGCGTACCGTAAATTAAAGAACTAAATTAGTATAACTGCAATACAAGTTTTATACTTATACTGTATACGCCAATCCCGTACGAAGGACGGGTACTCTGCTAGTAATTTTTATAAAGGTACAACAATTACAAACTCTTTTCTTTTCAATAATTTATTCACGGTTCTCATGGGGAGTAAACATAACATTTTGGGAAGTTTTTAGGATATATATTCAATGAGAAATTAACTTTATATATTTGTATTATTAACTACATAATTGTTACAAATACCATGACAAACACACAACAAACACAGATTGAATTTTAATATATAGATAAATTAAATAAACCATCTGTTTAACATTAAATGCAAACTCAAAGCAAAGTCAATGTTTATCCACAAATCTAGGGAATTAAAACGCGTTGTTTTAAGATTGACTGGGGATAAAAAGTAAACATTACAAAAACACATTATATATAAATAAATATATGTATATGTACGTGTATATAAATGCAAACATATCAATTATTTAGAAACGTAACACAAAACAACAAATAGGCCTCGGAAGGCAGGCGGTTGGGTTGACGACGTGACGGCGATTATTTGAACGCCTTCTATGTGAGGGACGCAATAGTTCATACTTTTGGACCAAACGAACTCGTATTAGAGTTTTGGATGAAACGACCCGATCGAATGGTCCACAGTGAAACGTACAGTCTATTTCATAAGTTTACTCCATAATACACAATTGTAATTCCTGTACTTTTGGACCAAACGATTTTGGACCAAACGAACTGTTTTACAACTTGTGGACCAAACGATTTTGGACCAAACGAACTGTTTTACAACTTGTGGATCAAACGATTTTGGACCAAACGAACTGTTTTACAACTTGTGGACCAAACGATTTTGGACCAAATGAAATACTCCCCAACTGGATGATAAAACGATTTTGGACCAAACGAACTGTTTTACAAGTGTTGGACCAAACGATTTTGGACCAAACGAACTGTTTTACAACTTGTGGACCAAACGATTTTGGACCAAATGAAATACTCCCCTTTTATCCATTTTTCCTACTAATGTAATATATTTCAGAAGGTTTGTACTATTTATTCAATTTACATTAGTGTAGAAATTAGTTAGTTGAGCCTAACTAGGCCTAGGCTAGTAACTGATTAAATAGTTAGGCTTTTATATGTTGGCTATCTTTTATTTAGGCTATTTGTTTTGCAAATAGGCCATTGATATATGACCTGCCACAACCTTGATTACAAGACTAAGAGTAAGAGAATATAAATAAAAGACTAGATAAAATAAATTCTAGGGGATTTAAAAATGCCACTTTTTATCAAGGATGACTTGTTATCGAGGTTCCACTGTATAAACACAAGAATCCCGTATTCTTACAAACTGAGTTTTTGTGGAGAAACCTATACGACAGGACAATAGGAAGCAAAAAACCTGATTTGAGGTGTAACACACAAACAATCCGAACCCGAAGAATGTTTACGAATTATTTTATTTATTTACATCATATAGGCCTACACGCTGCATCTGCCTGTAGGCAGGTAATAGTCAAAACATACATTTAACCTTTAAAACCTATTAGTATCGATTACTAGATAACTAGATAAGATAACACACCAAGGTGCACTTGTCCCCACCAAGCTTTTCCATCAGTTGCACATCCAGACATGACCGAGACAGGATTCCATCCCTGTATAATAAGGGTTAAGGTTGCTAATCTATTTGTCTAGTGTTTCCAATGATTAAAACATACATCAGGGAATCCCACATACCTTGCTGTTTCCTCATTCGCCATCTCTCTCCTGTCCCAAGTCGGCGTTTTTTCCTTCTCATAGAAATCTGCTCTAAGCGTAAGTCCTGGAAAAATTGACAATTCCTGTGTATACAACTACATTAGACAACTACAACTACATTAGATATTGGACTCCGGTTAATCTGAGCTACTTTGGACTGAACCGCAGATGCTGCTCTTCAGACTGAACTGAAGAGCAGAGTGCAACGGGATGTTAGAAAGCATGTAAGGTGGAGTTTTGCCATACAGTGACGCATTTTTACTTTATATCTGATATGTTTGTGAAATTGTTGGTTTAAAGTAGGTATGGATGGGATTGTATCTTTAATTCTGGACGGGATTTTTATTTTCTTCCTGACTTTCGGGATGGGATGGGTTTAAAAATATTGACAAAATATTCTTGTAGATAGTAATAATGACAAGCAAAACCAACGTGCACTGTTTTGATATTTTCCATAGACGATTAGTAGTCGACTGCTGTTGTGTCGATGGAAACGTAATGTTGAAATTCATTGGAAAATGGAGACAATGATGATTATTAACTTGTGAAGATTTTGTCTTTATTCTGAAACGTCATAATATAGCCTACAGTCTATCCGAAAAAAGTTGGATATTTAATGAATAGTGCCTGATATCAAATTTGAGATCCGAATCTGACCGGAATTTTTGGCTATCCGCACAGCCTCTAATAGAAAATAAACTTACCGTGTCTTGTTCATTCTCCTCTACAATTGGAGTGAGAGCGTTCCCCCTGTCCGAGGCAAGATCGTTGTTGGCAGGTTCTGAAAACGATTCAAATACATTAGCTTTAGGTGATATGGATAGGTGTATGATTAGGCAAGTGTACAAGTTTGGATATGAACGCAATGCATTGAGGAGTAGTGTTTGGTATGTGTTAATACATATGTATGTAACATACGTCTTTCAGAGCCACCTGTCTTAGTAAATTCATACAACCAGTGTCAAGTGAGGAAAGATAAATAAATTAATAAATTATTAACAAATAACACAAATATATAAACCATTGTTAAAAAATCTACATTGCAAAGCTCCAAAAGTAAGCTTTCAGACTATTTACAGGAGTTACTAGCCTCCCCACAATCAAACCATTAACTTCCTTACTAGTGATGTTATGTGGACATTAACCATTGGGTAAAATGAATTTTGTCTGCACTTGAGTTGGTAAGCTTGTTCAAACATGTTTTATTTTACTTTCATAGACCTACACTGTAAGTAGTTTGGTGTGCAAAATTTTGTAAATGAAGAGTTTTTTAATCTACACCGTCAGAATAAATTACCTTGAGGCTGTTGTAGCATCACTCGCTCCAGTCGGATCATTGGCTTCTGGATGAGAATTCCCTTGACCATCGGGCCCACCTTTTGCTGCTTCATCTGTTTTTCTATAAAAATATGATCAAGTATAATCAAACTGACTAATAAACAAGAAAACTAAAATTCTCTACAATGTAAAATCTAAGTTACTCAGTCATACTACGTTGAAAAAAAAACCTTAAAACAAAGTCAATCTTGAGTGGTGACTACGCCTTGTGTCATCGTCACGTATTCAGATCGAGTCGACCACGATACTAGCTGCCGCGTATGTTTAAATATAGACGGGTTACTGATATTAAGATGAATTCATAAAACAAATAGAGTAGCCTAACACAAACATCTTACCTACAAGAACTCAGGCAACAAAGGTAAATCTAATATAATTCTTCTCAGTTTTGATGCATAGTTATTACTAGAGTACCTAATGGTTATATTATAAGCCCTACTGTATGGTTGACTAGGAGAAGGGAGTTGATCGTACAAATAAGCTCAAGATTTGGACATGGTAAAGGGATATACTTTTTATCCTTCATCTGTTTACCTTACCCCCTTTCCTCTGCTACAGAAACTAGTGTTTTCATTCTCGGGATTTATCCCGAAAACGGAGCTTTTAGACCTTGAGCGGGATAAAACAGGATTTTTGGCTGTGACAACAATTTTCATTTTTTTTAACTCCAATTGATTAAAATACTGTAGCAAAATATAATAGTGATGTAAAACAACTTTTGAAACATGATACGTCAAATATAATACTCGGGATTTAACAAAAAAATAAATCATACGGGATGAAACGGGATTTTTCACAATTTAACAGCGGGATTAAACAAGATTTATCGACCAAGTAAGCGGGACTATTATTTTGATTGTGTGGAAATACTGACTGAAACCTAAGATATTTGGCTTCGCCTAAGATACCTCTCCACTAAAATAATCATCTGTTTAAGGATAAAAAAAATATGTAAATAAAAAGATCTATGTAAGCCTATTTAAAATTACATTTTTAACTCACCACTTTTCTTGGAATGGTCACTGTTTCTCTGACGGTCATCTCCAAAAGCACGAGGAGGATTATTTTCATTTTCTACAAATAAAAAAGATTTATAGGCCTACCAAAGAAACCTCTTGTTATGAAACAAATACTTCAAGATGATCGCTGCTTTTGTTGGAAAATGAACTGTAGTGTTTTGAATCAATATATTAACTCTTAAAACAAGTTTAAAACTGTGCAAATCCTAACAAAAAATTTAGATACTGCAAATACATCTTTTATTATGTTGTAAAATCCAAGCCCTGATAATATAAACAGTCATAATAAGTTGCATTTGCATTAAGAAATTTTAACAAATAGAATTTTTCTCATTTTAGAGTAAATTTTCAGTGTGTTAGGTCACTGAAAATTCCACAGACCAAACAATAGTTTTATGATATCGTTTGGTGAAGTTTAGTTAAATAACCAGAAATAAATAGGAAACATCAACTTGTAACCTACTGGACAAAAACATACCTTAAATAATTTTTTGCTGAAACACAAGGACGAAAACCTTAATAATCTTTGACACGAAAAAGATTAGTGTAAACTTCAAATTACTAAGAACACACAGTTGTAATGGTAGAATGTAAAATATAATTTAAAAACTTTTAAAAATCTAGACTCACCAGCATTGAAGGAATTTATCATGGTGGTCAGTCGAATCTGGTTTCGACAAAGCTGGTCAGATAGGCCAACCAAGTGGGGAAATGCACTCTTGATATCTTTCAGGCACACTGATATCATGTCTGTCTGCTTTACCTGTAAAAAAAAAACAATAACTTAGTCCAAAATATTTATTTTTTAAAATTTCCTTTTATTGAACAACCTTTCCAATTCATAAAAAAATTTCAAAAATTAATGGTTTTCAATTTTTGTAATTCTTTAGCTTATTTTAAGGAGAATAGAGCAAAGCTTCTATCTACTTAAACAGTCGCTATTAGACCAGCACCAATAAGATTCTAGTTTTTTAAGACTAGAATCTTAACTTACAATTAAATATTTAAGACAAATAAGGCAAATCTTGTACCTTAAATGCATTGTGGGACAAAACTGCTTCATGATACATCCGTTGCCAATAGAATACATCTTTCTTCAGTTCGGCGTTTAGCTTTTTTTCGTTGGTAAAGTTCTCAATGATTTCTTGATTTTTAGCCTCCAAAGATTCCTTTTCTGTAACAGCAACAGTTTTCAGATTTTGTAACTTAAATATCCTGCACCATCCCTTGCAAATTAATCTTTAAAACACCTTTGTGATGTTAGTTTTATTATGTGATTGCACTTAACACCTACGCTCCTACAATTATCCCCTTGACTTTTACAGTTTCTAAACACACCGATGTGGACAGGTGTACACACAGTGGTCCCTAAAACCTAGACGTTTTCCACTGGTGGACAGTGTTACTATGGTGATTTAACACTACAAAACGGCATCCGTATGCACCATCATTGTCTTTTAGGCAACAGTGGCCCAATCATCAACTAGCTGAGCTAGTCTCTGATATTGATACTCAAGTAGATATCATTAGAACTTAATGATGCACGATTTTAGGTACTGTAGTCCTGGCGTGGCACATCAATGAGTGGTTGTATAGAGAAAACGACAGGTTGACAAGTACAACAGGTGGTACGTACGGTTTTATTAGCATACCGTAACTTATACCTTGGTAAATTTTTACTTTACGGACACAGGGGATTTTACCTAAAAAATTTGGTGAGGTTAAGCAGAATTATATCTAGATCACGTCAAATTTTCAATAGAACCACCGAAAAGAGCGTAAGTATTTAAAAAACAAGTATAAGTGTTGAAGATGAAAGGCTACGGAGAAAATTAAAAAAAAACTGTAAATTTAAGATTCCCATTTTATTATTAAGGAGGAAAAAATCTGTTGTAGGCTAATTTGCTTGTTTATGAATATAGGAATATGCCCTATCTTGATCAGATTTGGCGAATTTATTTATTTCAAAACAGCCTTTTAATAGGCTATTAACACAAAAAATACTTTTTACCTTCCCCATAGCAGCAAACCTAAGTAAGTACTTGTTAACTATTATTTAAATGGTGAATATATTATAGGCTACCTAGGGTATGTGTTATAATATATGTATATATACTACTATTAAGTTACATGAGTAATCTAACATGTCATAAGGTTGGACAAACTGGTTACGTATTTAACTTGTATTTTTTGTACAACCTGACAACTTCCAGTTTCTTCCCATGCTCATGTAATTAAAAGCAATGTGAGCGCCGTGTATGATGTAACTTACTTTCATTATTATCCAAATAAATGTTGTATTTAACAGCTTGTAGTTTTTCACCACCCCAAGTGGCCAACAATAATGTGGAAATATTTGTAAAAATCAAATCAGACAAACTGAAATTTACTTAAGTCTACAGGTTTACTGGCAGGGGTATTAATAAATAGTAATAATTTAAGCTATCCTACAATCTTACCATCCAGAAGGGCTGAGACGCGGCGACGAAGCATTGATAAGCGTTTATGATGGTCTCTGCAGCCATTTTTCTTCATCGAATTTTCTTTTTTTACTTTTATTCCAGGTTGTAACGATTCTTTTTTTGTTTTTGTGACTCTCAACTTACCCATCTGAAAATGCAACAACTTAGAATTATTGCTTACCGGTTAGTAAATTGACTGCTAAGGTAACCCAAAGAACAATAAAACATGAATTACTTTTAAATTGTTAACTTATTAAAATAAAGCACGCAGCAAAAGCAGCAGTTGGGTTAGTTAGTTTTTATCCAAGCAATGTTTATATTATAGTTTAAAACCTAATTTTAGTTTGTTTGATTTGAGTTCTTAACATTCTAATTTAGAATACATTGCATGTGTTTCTAGGCTCGTACATTTTTGAAAAGAAAGACAATTTGTATTGCAGACTTTAACATGAGTTAATAGGCTTACACAAGTTTTCTCTAGTTTAAAAACTAACTTGCCAATTTAAATAGTAGGTACCCAATCTAGCTAATAACACCCTTAAATAAAGTAAAAATAACTTAAGCAACTTGACTCTCTTGGTTGTGAATCTTGTATTTATTATCTTTTATTTCCCACTGACATAGCTATTTTACAGTGAAAAGATACATTTAGGCCTATACAAGAAAGAAAACATGAGAAAACTATCTATAGCCTAGTAACAATAATAAATACTTACAAGAGGCCCTAAATTATAAACATAGAATATAACAAATGACAAAAAGTAAGTTACCGGTATTGAGGTGAGTGTATGAGCGAGATGAAAAATAAACAGTGTGAAATTGTAGGGTGTGAATATACCTTGTAAGTTAATAGGTTAAAATTGACTTAATTGAAACAAGTTTAGTCAATTTTAAAATTGGGTTAACTTACAATTAACCCTCCGAGTGTCCCTAGTTTTGGCCTTAATGTTTGCCTATTGTTTGCGCATTTGCAAGGTTTTATTAAAACGGATCTGAGAAGCTTAAAAACAATGTTAATTATATTGTTCTTTATACCATTTTGTTTGGAAAATCATGGGCTTCAATATTATACATAAAACATAAGGAACATTTGTTTCAAAAAAAAATTTTAGGTAAAAAAAAAATATTTTGGAAAATTTTCAAAAAAAAAATAAGTTTGCGCTCAATGAAATTGTATACATTATAGGCCTATAAATATTTGAAAATAGCCACTTTGTTCAGAATTTTATGAGGTTTCCAAAAATATAATAATTTAAGGAAGTAGATTTGCAAATAAATAAGTTATGGGCAAAAAACAGATTTCGGTACATAGCGTTTAGCTAAGAATGCATAGCCTAACCATAGCTAGGAATCTGGCTGATAATTTACATCAATATCACTACCTACTTCTTCAGGATCATCAACCAGCCCTTCAAAATCACTTTAAATCTTCTTATAATGCACCACGTATATCACTACTTTTGATTTTTAACACTAAAAAAATGATAAACGTAATAAAACATATCAGTCATCGGTGCGAGGTTAACCAAGCTGTTTACAAATACGCACGTCAGCTGGCTGCTACAATACAATGCTACAATTATGATCGGCTCGAGAAAAAAAAGCGCTTAGAGATAGACCTCGGGAGAAAGCTTAGAATCTGCCAAATAAAACGATACCTAACTCGATCCAGTTCAATCCGATTTTGTCAGTCATAGAGCCTTCGCCGTAAACAGTGTTTGTGAGTCGAAAAATTGACACAAAACACTACACAAAATGTGTTATGTGTCGAATCGACACATAACACCCGGAGGGTTAAGTTCAACTTAGCTTAGTGCAATTTAAAATAAAATTGCAGATTTACCAAAATAGCCTTTAGCCTATTGTACCTTTTTGGAAAGTAGGCCTAGTGTTACTGTGGAAGTACCTAACTTTTAAATGAAATGAATGATTTAACCCTTCAGGGCTAAATTAAATGAAGAGATGGAGTTTAATTATTGTTTGCCAAAATTCAAAAACTAAAGCGGTTACGTTTTGTATTAATTTTGCTTGAAATAATTCATGGATCATAAAAAGATTTTTCTTAACGGTGAACTGATTTTTATACAAAAAATATGAAGAAAATAAAATTTTATTTTAAGACAGATATATACGTCTTAGGTTTAGGCCCACAAAAAACATAAGGTGGATGGATATGTCCGTCTGCCGCCCTTAGTGATAATTACAAACTATGAACACTGCCAATAATCTTGAAGGTTCTTGTGGGTGGTAGAAGGATATCCGTCAGTCTTTAGCTATTCCTTCACCCATGTTTTATTTTTATCCATAAAAATATATTTTTTATCATTCTGAAGTAAATCTAACCACTCAGTTCCGCTCCCAAGTCCTCAGACTCATTCCCCACCAAAACTATCACTAACTTACATAAAGACTGTTCTTCAGGTTCAACATATTCATCACATTCCTTACTATTTTTTTAATTGCTTAAAAATCACCACAGTAATACTTTCACTAAGCATCTCAAAAACATCTTTAAATTTCAGATCGTTTGGATTGGTCACTTTAGCTCAATAAAATCTATTTAATTAATATGCTACATGAAACTTTGTCGGTTGAACTCCTCCGCCATTTCTTAAACGATTTTATCCATTGACGTCTCATTGAAAAGAGCATTTTGCGTAGATTTGCAAACTGGCCTTACACTTTTTTTTAAGTCCCTTGGGTTCTGCCCAAGTGGCTTTGAAAGTTCCCATTTTATCCTTAAGAAAAACATAATTGTTTACATTTTGATCAGCTGTAGCCTATAATTTAAATGCTGTTATTTATTTTTCAATTCAATGTATCGCATTGAGTGCATTTATTTACTAGGCCTATTTGAGTTTGTGTAAACATAACCCCCCAAGACGCATGTCATTGTCAAAATACTTTTGTATGTATATGTTTAAGTTACTTAAGTCATCTATACAACATATTATAAATTGGTTCTTGACCGTTGGAAGGTAAAAAAAAAATAAAGACAGATCATGTTAGTATGGTTGTATCTTAAATTTGTGTATTTATCGTTGTTTTGTGTTGCTATGACGGATCGTGTTAGTATGATTGTAACATATATTTGTGCATTTATCGTTGTTTTGTGTACCTAGCTATAATTTGTTTATTTGTTGTTTTTTCCTTTTAAATGCCTCCGACGCGACGACAACGAAACATAGTCAGGAGGCGTAAATCGTGATAACGACCGCAGCTACAGAACAGAGGCGCGTAAGAGGCTTAACTCATCACAGTCAGCACCTGACCTTGGACAATCTCAACTATTATAGGTTAAACAAATGTGCCCTAAACCCCAAAACAACTTTTCGTTCTCAATTGGCCCTCTATCAATGACCTGAGTTGTCTGTACAGCGAGGCATTTTGTTTTGAGAGAAAAAAACCGGCCGGAATGCTTTAGGTTTATCAATAACGAAGATAAACATGGTCTGAGTTACACACCGGTAATCTTTGACTCTTTTAAACTCATTGTAAATATGAGACTGTTATTCGTTTTGAAATAACTCCTGTAATACTTTGCAATTGCTCGAATTCGAGCAACATGTACACTAGTAAGGATAAATCCCAAAACACAAATAATGTAAACATCACTCACTAACAACCATGTGTAAAGAGACAGTTTCAAAATATTCACACTCTCTATGGTGCAAAATGATACCTGAAACAGCTGTACAGCAACTATTATTACCAACCACAAAAAAGTCTAGAATACTTACCCATTTATAGTGCAGTGTAATAATTATTTTTGTAAAAACTACCTTGTGTACCTATCTATATTGATTTGTTTTATGGACGGATCTGTCTTTAGCCCAGAAAATAAATTTCTCAGGACGGATTTATCCGTTTTCAGCCCGGAAAGTAGACAAAGATTGAGAGATATATAGCCTATATGTCCATAGCCCTGGGAAAGTTAACTTAGTGTTTGACAGTTCGAACTAATAGCAAAAGGAGCTTAGGTAAATAAATAGAATTGAGTGGGGGGCTTAAATCAAATACTAAGCTAATTAGGCTAGCTACTACTTATTGGTCCTGCAATCAGTTCCTAAAAATCAATGGTAAATAAGGAGGCCTGATTTAATGAAATTTTGTTTTCAAAAGGGTACCCAACTTAAGTAGAATGAGCAGGTAACTTAAGCAATTATAGGCCTACTTAGCTCTAGATTACATAAAATAATTTATCCAAATATCAATTAAACAAGAGGCTAGTTTAGTTCATAGTTCACTTTGTATTAAGTAGTAAAGTATCTATCTTACTCTCTAGCCAGTTTAAACTTGAAACTTGAACAAACTCAACAAACGAACCAGATTATTGAACTTAAATTGTAAAAGCTTACCAATTAATAGTCAATGGCTGTACATAGGCCTGAAATGTTTATATCATGTCATTATTTTAAAACACAGTAACTTACTCTAATCACATACGTTATTTAGGCACGTTGTGAGAACTTAAGTCAACTAAAACTAACCTTTCGCGATTACGATTGAGGTTTATATTTTATTTTAAAACTTGCAAAAACAACCAAAATAGATAAAGATAACAATTATTGGCTCTTGTGTTGTGTCTTGATATTGTCGTCAGTCAGTAAAGTAAAACCAAACCAAACCGTCCAAACCGTCCAAACCATCAAACCAAAACCAAATCAAACCAAAGCAAAGAAGATAGAAACTAAATAAACCATAGTCAAAGTCAAAGGTACTAGAAAATAAAAAGCCAAGACATGGAAAACAATAAGGTTGGGCATTGATTATGTAAAGAAGTTCTATGATTAACCGAAGTAGAACATTACGTATAGTTCCCTGTTTCAAACTGGGTTTTTTGTTTAAAATTCCCAGACAGTAGGTATTCTGGAAGTAAAGCGAGAAATATTTGATGCCACCTGCCTCATGATGTGACATGGAGTACTTCAAGCAGAAAGTAGAGGGTCGTGATTTAATTTGATTCTTGTCTACTGATTGATTGTCTCAATAGTTTCGAAGTTTAGTAGAGTGGCTTGTTGAACATAATCGTTAAGGAAAATAGTGGAGATCATCATTATATGATAAAATTATTGCATGATAGCAATAGACCTACGAAAAGGATAAGCTGCCTCAGACTGAGACTCATCTTTGGCACAGAGAGGATGCCAGGCAGAGTCGTCATATCATGGACGAAAAATCTGGCTTTGTACACACACAGTGTGTGTGTATGTGTAAATGCCAACTCGACGTGGCTCTCATCAACGAAAAACCGAGAGTTCAGAGTGGCAGAGATTTTAATTGCCGAGCGTGGATAACTATTCAAGGTACCGTAGGGCTAAGACGGAGTGAATAACAAAACACTTTCTATAGTCATAATTTATTATATTATTATGAATAAATTATTATAACCTTCTTTGCTCCGTCAACCAAGCTGCTGAACACAAAGGATAACAAACTACAACTAATTGAGGCTGAACTATTTAACTAAAAAAAATAATTATTTAACTATGAAACCGCTGATCTTAGTCAGTAACAAAGCTACACAGGTCATCACACACCGTTCTACACTCATCCTTCACTCATATTTGGGTTAAAATACGCACCTATGGGGCGTCCCCATCTCATTGATTGATAATTGATAATTGATAACTAAAAAAAAATATCTTGATCAGTTACAGGTACCTATGTGATTTCTAAGGATTGATATTGAAGTTTTTAATATCACAAATTTAGAAAATTTTCTATAGAATGTTTCTATAGAAAACTTCTCCAAAATGTGTATAAAAAAACTTGCAGTGGTCCATCTTTATCCAATAAATAAACCAATAATTATATTACTCCTTTAATACAGTACAGTGTACTTTGCAAATTGTAATTTAATTTTTTTAATATGGAATCATCGACTTATATATGTTCCTCAAACTGTTGTAACTAACTTCCAAATTTCTATCGGCTGATCTATAAGGATGAAAATAAAATTTATTCTCTAATACAATATCTTCACTACTTTATACCAGCGGTATACTATATAGTCTGGACTCAAAATTTGAAACATTTAATGTTTAGACAATAGATTATAAAGGCTTTAAAATGACGGCTGTCTGCTATCTCATCTGACAATTGCTTACGCATGACGCATGCGCACAAATGGAAATGACAGTTTACCATCTCGTGGAGAGAACGATAAACATTTTGTCAATAAGTTACACAGCAATATTTGCATGAAATTCTTGTGATTTGTTGTAATAAATCCTGCAATTAACCATGGCTGATAACGAAGCCAAAGCCATGCAGCTCATGGCTGAAGCAGAGAAGAAACTGACTTCATCCAAAGGATTTTTCGGGCAACTCTTTGGGTAAGTTGAATAGAAATCCAAATCTGTAGACATCTACCTCCATCGATCGGGCAATGTCCTCCCTGTGTAATCGAAAACTTTTCATAAACCGTTTCCTTACACTAGATTATAATGATAACAACTTGCATATTCTAAAAGTTCTTGTGGAAAAGTATGTTTAGCCTACTTCTTACTTTTCACAAAAATAGTTGTTGTCAGGTTGTAGCAAAAGAAGCAGAAATTGATCTGATGATCCTATAATTTTTGTTGCTCTAGAGGTCTAGTAGGCCTATGTTCATTCTTTTAGGATAGGCCTAGCTTATTCCTAATGTTTAGTTTCTAACAATTTGTTTTTAACATCAGTAAGAGCAAATTTATGGATTAGGCCTATCTTCAAATTCATTAGCATATTCCATAACAGTGGTTGACTTAGTTTTTCTTCTAAAAAATATTCAATAAGCAACATAGCACAACAAGCAACTTTTCGCCAATTAATAACTTACCTAATTACTCGCTTGTCACCTCATGCTCAATGTTTCGGAGACTGAAAACAATAGATTGGGTTTTTCTTGATTTAAAAAGAGATAGTTTGCCCGGAACCAGGTAGATGCATCATTTAGATACTGTTTTTAAAATAAGTTCAACTCTACAGCACTATTTCTAGCTTCAACAATTGTTGTGTCGTCTGAATAGCAAACAACACCATTAGGCCTACCAAAGGCACATGGGTAGGTCATTAATCATTATACTGAAAAGCAGGGGCCCGAGTACAGAGGTCTGTGGAACGCCATGTGTTAGTTTTTGATAGGCTACTTGAGATTTTACCATTTAGGGACACCAGCTGCCCACGCTCGGCCAGATAGGTCCTCAGCAAATCAAAGCTTTTTCATTCAAACCATAGAAATTCAACTTTTTAAATAAAGTTTCACAGGCAATAGTATCAAAGGCTTTGCTAAGGTCACACAGGGTGGCCCTAGCAAAACCGCCAATACTTATTGTTAAGGGAAATCATTGTTCAAATATAATAATAATAATAAATGGTATCTAAAAACAATTTATATACAGGGGATATTCAGTCGATTCTGTGAAAAGTGTGTAGCTGTTTGATGGTTAGAAACTTGACCCAGCTTTCCTTTATCATTGGACTTCCAATAAATGGTCCTGAATAATGAAACACCTGGTCTTAGTGGGTAACAAAGCAAGGCATCACACTCCAATTCAACACTCATCCTTCACTCATATTTGGGTTAAAATACACACATGGGGTGGCATCTGCATCTCAAATGAATATATAGAAAGATTGACAGATTAATTACATGTAGCCTACGTCTTATTTAGTCATGTGAGGATGTTAGTAGGGGCTTTATGGGAATTCGGGACTGTATTACAGTAAACGTTTTGAAGTTAGGTTGGATCAGGGAGGTAAAATTTAGGTTAGGCCTATAATGAACCGAGTAGTTGAAATAGTCAACAATTAAAACTGTCACTAAACATTAGCCCTCAATAATTACTTTACCATTTGATACACAACTTGAAATTCTTGTCAATGTAAAATTGATTTGTGATTTAATCATAGTTTTATAATATATAATTTATCTTACTTCCAAATTTCAGTGGATCTTCAAAGGTGGAGGAGGCAGTTGAGTGCTACCAACGGGCAGCGAACATGTTCAAGATGGCCAAGAAGTGGGGTCAGGCAGGCAACGCCTTCTGTGAGGCCGCAGCCTTGCACTCTAAGGCAGGCAGCCGACACGACGCTGCTACAAACTTTGTGGACGCCGCCAACTGCTATAAGAAGTCTGACCCTAACGGTGAGTTAGGTTAACAGAAAACAATGAATATGGATTTAACTCTGTCGAGTTTATTTTCTCCTCAAGACACCTGAGGAGTGGTTCAATCAGTAGCACAGTGGACCAGAATTGCCACCCGTCCTGATTTTGGTCCCTTGTGCACGTTATGCCCATGTTAATCCAGGGCGAGGGGGTCCCTTGTGCACGTGTTTATGCCCATGTTATTCCAGGGTGAGGGGGTCCCATCCCGATTTTCCCCCACGCAAAGGTGGCAACCCTACAGTGGACTGTGAACCCATGGCAGCAATGTCTTGGGTTCATGTCACGGTTTCTTAATTTAAAATATTTTAGTAGGCTATGGTCAACTCCTCATTATTGCCCCCCAAGGCAAATAAATAAATAAATAAAAAAAAAATAATAAATAAATAAATTGCACCTTCTGGTGTAACAAGACTTAATTTACTCACAGGTTTTGTGGACAGGCAAATTTAACATTAAAAAGGATGCCAACCTCATAAAAACTGTAGTTTTTTAAGTCTAAACTTAAATCACCAGGTTGTTGAACATTGAACGGTACTTTCCTGTTAAAGGGAACACTAATTATTATCGATGATTTTTTCTCGATATATCGATGTTTTTGTTTTCCGATCGATTACAAATTGACAACAACTAACTGATCTTGTTTAGACTAAAATAGTCTATTATATGGATTAAGAAATTAAACTGTTCTAAGCTAACCTAACATAACCAACCAAACTTGTTGTACCATTTAAAAATTACTTTTGGGTTTGAATATAAAAGGCAAGTTATAAACACGGAATTTTTAAATGTTACGGCGAGTTTGGTTAGTTATGCTAGGTTATTTTTTTTTTAACAGTATCATTTCATTAATGTTTGTTGATACTGAACAATATTTTTCGTAGTTGTCAGCTGATATGTTTAAATTTGTTAATATCGATATATCGAGAAAAAAATCATCGATAATAATGAATGTTCCCTTTAACAGGAAAGTACCCATTGAACATACACATTCAAACGAACAAACAAAGGCATACTTTAAGATTTAAAAAGTACATAGACTGGCCAGCTCAGCTTATGGGCTGAGTTGATGCTACTAAAGGGTACCGGTAAATGAAGTAATAAAATAAGGAGACAAGAGATTAACACAATGTTCTTACAGATGACATTAAAATGTACATCCATCGTTTCTAAGCATTCTATTGGGGTTGCATTTCCTACTTAGAGCTTCTACCAAATGCCTACAGGGATCAGCATTTTTATGATTTTTTGCCTATGCTATACCTATAGTACAAATTCTGTTTTACGCCTGTGTTTCAAAATTCAAAAAGAAAAGCTAGGCCTAATTTGAGGAGTCTCACTGTTATTTCATGTAGAGTTTAGTTGCCCAAATACCAAATAAAAATGTACTAGGCCTAGCCAAAATCAATTTTCCATCGTAAATCAATTACTCGGACATTCAATGTCTATGCCGTAGATTCAAGTATTATCTCAAAATA